TAAAAACATCTCATTGAGAATCAGAAATGTTTTATTGTCCCAAAAGCTGGGAAATTTGTTTGCTGCAGCAGAAGTGTAACAAGTAAAATGGAATCAGATTGATGTATGTACAAATTTACTTGAAATACACATTTACATGATTAAATATGTATAATAGGTATGTGTGTTGAAATTAGTTTTTACAGTTATTGCACATTAAACATGTTATTAAACAAATGTCCCGGTTTGTGGGACAACCAAGGATTTCTGATTCTGATTGTCTTGTTTACAGAAATGTAATGTACAACTTACCTCTGCACCCGGCTGCTGTTCTCCCTGTCCAAACGTCCTCCGTTTCTTTGTTGGCTGCTGCACTGATGCGCTGCATTCCTCAGTCAGAGAATGAATGGAGTCCCCAATGAGACACAAGTTCCACATCCACCTTCTGTGGATCCCAGCCGTTTTGAATAACAAACACAGAAAGCAAAATAACGCATTAGCGTGATTGCATCCAGCTAGCCACTGCTTCCTGGTGTACCAATTTTGGGAGAAGCGTCGTGTGTACAGTTTACCCTTCTCCTTGTCCTGCTGGCTTATCTTTACGTCGGGCTGATCTGGTCCAAGCTCTTTGACATTAAGTTTTTCCACCATAGTTCTCCTCTCGAACGGATACTGGAGAAGAGTCCGAACTGAATTCAGTGGCTGCTGAGATCCGGTATCCATGTTGTAGGCGCACTGGCGTCCATGTCTACGTCTGCGTCATGACTGCCACGAGTCACGACCAAAAACGTGCTGGAGTCGAGACTCTCCGAGTTCTACCGAACACCAACGAAAGCCTTGGCGGTAGCTCTATCGCCCATCATGCTTCTGAAACGTTCTGAAACAACGTCGATGCTGATTGGATACATTCCCATTCCTACCCTTTGATTTTCTTGTCAGCAATTGGACAGCTGGTCCCGTCTTGTTTGGGCGATTGAAAAACAGCACACAGCCTCCACCGCTCGGCAGAGACCGGCAGAGACCAATATATATATATATATATATATATATATATATATATATATATATATATATATATATATATATGATTTATTTTTGTTACAAAACACACAATTAACTTAGAATATGTGATTATTGTTAATTTTATTTATTTATTTTTTAAAATAAAAATTAAAAACACAGGGGAAACTGGGTGGGCGGCGCCCTATCGCCCTCTACTGGCCAGCTGCCACTGGAGAAGATGTTACTACATAGAATTGGAAACCATAAAATTTGAAATATCACGAAGTATGAAATATCACCTTAATGGATCTTTAAGTAAATCTATTCAGAAGATTGGATCTTTTTATTGCAGGGATTGAGCAACACTTCGTATTAACTTCAAGAAAAGAGAGTGAGTCAGGTTTAAAAGTTTAAAGATTTATTACTAAACAAATTAAACAAGACTAACTTTAACACTAGGTGTATGGTGTAACTAAGGTGAGGTAAGACTGAGAATGGTGTATGTGTGAATATGTTCAGAACCAGCAGATCGGGAGTGTTACAAGCCAATTTACCGGGCTATCTCCACTCTGCTAGATGTTACCATTATCTCAGGGTTTCACTTGTAATCAATGTAGTGAGCGTGACAATGCCAGTTACCAACAAACACACTTACTCTGTAGGAGTTGATCTGAAATCACCACAAACCCAGGGCTTCTAATTCTGACCAAAAATAGTTCAAGCAGACAAAGAGGAGGCGCAAACACACCTACACACCCTTCCAGTCCATGATGCTTATGTACACTTCAGGTTAAGACCCTTGCCAGTTGTTCCTTTTATGCTGAGGAGACAACTGACTTTACCTGTAGCCTAGGATGGAGGAAACACTTAAATTAATACCTCGGGATGGCATTTACAACCAGCATCTCACCTTCGCTCGGCTACCGACAGGAGGAGACCCCACTCGTAAATCCTTTTTTCGTTCCACGAATCCGAGGAACTAGGTTTTATTTCACACAGATGAAAAAAGAGTAATAATCCAAACGAAACCCAGACAAAAATGGTTAAAAAGTAAAACAACTCTTTGCCAATAAACCGAGTTATAGCAAAGTTGAGCTGAATAAGCTCTCCAAAAATGACACTAGGTCAGATTATCAGAGACAAAAAGCTCAAAGCAAAAGCTTCCTTCTTTCTATCTCTGTACCTCACACACTCTTCCCATCAAAGGCCATTCCTCCAGACCCAGTAGCTCCTTTTTGTTTACTCTCCCCCCTCCCTCACAGTCATTTCTTTGTTTGCTGCTTCAGACTTCAGACTTCCTGGTCACGTGTTCCTCTTCTTGTTACTTCTCCAGCGGCCCCGAAGAGACCATAAATCTTGGATGCCATGATGTCACCTTTTCTTCTCCCAGTCTTCATCCATTCACTTGTTTCTTCTTCTCAGCGCCTCCTGCAGGCTTTCCTCTTCTCTGCATGCTGTTGACATTAGCCCAACGTTGCCCCTCCTTCTGCTTGTCAGGGGAAGCAATTTTATCAATTCTAAAAGTCTGTCTTGTTTGGAAAAACCATTAGCTGGTGCACCTGGACTTTCTCCAGAATGAGCCTCCCTACCTCCTTGCCTCCTCCACTTCTCTGGAGGTCAAAAAGGTTACCACAGAACCGTGAGACCGAAACAGCTCGGTGAAGGCAACTAGCAATTTACGACTTCAGGGGTGATAAGAGACAAGGCTGTAGGAACACACACACACGGATACACCTTGGGAAGCCTAGAATTGATTTCACATGATGAGAGACATAATCCAGACTTCATTTCATACATTAACAAGTCTGATTATACTCCATACAACAGGGAGAAACGATTAGTTCTGATGGGAATGAAGATGATGTTTCGTGCTGAGCTTTGATTTGGAGATTTATAACACACATTGAGATGCCATTCTGCCGGCCTACGTACCCTTTGCGGAAGTCCCCATTAGATCAGGAATGTCGAGGTCCAGATTGACCTTCTCTCGAAACGAAGCCGGTAGGAAAAGCTGCGGTTGCCGACCAGACCAGTCTTGAGATACTTCCGGGTCACGACAGTTTTATCGGCATCTAGCGAGACCCAAAAAGGGGGTCGTGATGGTTCAGCATTTATTCTGAAAGGAACCGTTGCAGCAGGTGGAACAGCAACAGATTTTATCCAGCTTGTCGTTAGGTTCTTTCGGCTGAAGAGGAAAGTTACGGATTGGCCACTCCGACAAGTTCTCTAGAACGCTTGAACTGAAGTTAAGATGACGTGGGCATAGTTTTATAATTTGGATGTTTTGATTTATGGTCGAATCAAAAAGGGACAGATTTACCAAGCACCAACAAAACCACACCTCGCGTCAGATCTGGAAGGCTCTGATTGGATCAGAAAAAGGAAATGTGTCACGTGATTTTAGCATTACGTGTGATCAGTCTCTAGTGGAAATATTTAAAGTTATATTACTTGTTATAATACTACTGATCATAAACATTGTCGTTTCACAGATTGGTTCACATTGTATTATTGGACTAACACTTTGATTGATTAGCTTTATCAAAAATAGAGAAAGAGTTCTTTGATTTATCAAAAAGAAAGTGTTCGTCTTCTTCATCTCCTGAGCTGGAAAATAAACAGTTTAGGAGCAGAGAATGAGACCTTGAGCAATGTCTCATGCAGATTAGGTTTGTGTCAGAAACTTCTGGTTTTGCTTTGAGCGGAGCAAAACAGAGCAGGGCCTTTTAGGTCAGAAATGGACACTTCATCACGCTACATGAACTAAACCAAACTAAACAAAACCGGTAGAGATATAAAATCTCTAGTAGTTTGTTTGGATGAGGTAAAATCTTGGATGGCTTTTAACTTTTTAAATTTTAATGAGAAAAAGGCAGATAATTGTCTTTGGTTCTAGTAACTCCAGTAGACCCACTCCTATGGACTTAGGCCCCTTGGTACTGCAAGAAAACCAACAGTGACCAACTCAGGTTTTTTAATGGACAATGATTTTAGGTTGGACAGTCAGATCAGGGCTGTTGTCAAATCCAGCTTCTTCCATCTGAGACAGTTGGCAAAGGTAAAGCACATTTTGACTAGAGAGGATTTTAAAACTGTAATTCATGCTTTTATTACAACTCATCTGGATTACTATAACTCTTTGTATTTTGGTATCAGCCGGTCCTCACTGTCTCGACTTCAGCGGGTGCAAAATGCTGCTGCTCGACTTTTAACTGGTACAGGGAGGAGTGAACACATCACTCCTTTTTTATCTTCACTGCACTGGCTGCCTGTCCATTTTAGGGTTCATTTTAAACTTCTTTTATTTGTTTTTAAGTCTTTAAACGGTCTTGCACCGCCCTACCTCTCTGAGCTATTGCACATTCACTCTTCCTTTTGGTCGCTCAGGTCTTCTGACCAGTTGCTCCTGGTCGTTCCAAGGACACAGCGTGAGCTCAGAGGGGAGAGGGCCTTCGCTGTTGCTGCTCCCAGACTATGGAACTCTTTGCCGGCACATCTTAGGAACGCCTCCTCACTGGAAACTTTTAAATTATCTTTAAAGACCCACCTTTGTAGCTTGGCTTTTGACACCACATGAAGTTTTGGATTTCTATTTGATTTTAGTGTTTTATTTTAGTGTGCCTTTAACTTTATACTGTATTCTATTTTATTCTGTTTTATGTTTTTATGTTCAGCACTTTGGTCAGTGGTGGCTGTTTTTAAAGTGCTTTATAAATAAAGTTGGCTTGGCTTGGCTAAAACCTGCCCGAAATAACATAATTCATTAGCCCAAATCTGAGTCATCCCGTTGGGCTGACTCGGTTCAGGTTCGGTCTCAGGTTACAACTCCAGCTCTCAGCCCACCACATATAGGTGGACAAAAATTTCCTACTTAGCAACTGTGGGAGGGTCAAATGAGCAATTTGAGAAAGTAGGGGGGATAAGTCCCACTCTGACATAATGGTTGTGTCACCGGTGGGTAAAGTATTTGTTTTTGTTTGGCTGGCTCATTAAAGATATTGTTTTCTTCATCATTCTAGGCACTCCATGCTGTTGCATGTTTCAAGTCATCTGATGGATCCACTCAGGCGCCACCTGCACCAGTTCAAAAGGAAGACCCCCTGCGTGCATTGACAGAGAGAGGACATGAGTCTGTTTACAACAAAGGTCCTGCCTCTGCTTCAGAGAGTAATGATGAGATTGCAGTGGCACCAGCCTCTTTGGATTGTCTAGAGGGCCTGAGGCCTCTGCAGAGAGAGAAAGGTTCTATGGGTAGCTTAAAAAGGGCCAGTGTGGATGTAGAGCTACTTGCCCCACGAAGCCCAATGGGTAAGGAGACCATGCTTACCTTCAGTAACACACTGCCAAGAGCTAGCATGAACATTAATGGTTCTCTTAGTTCTATTGAGGCACCACCTGATTCAGTGCAGCCGGTGCAACCGGTGAAACCAGTGCAACGACGTCTGAAGGCTGTGCAAGTACCTCTGGAGCCCATTCGGTCACAGCAGCTGGTTTCAGAATGGAAGCAGAAGTCAATGGGAAAACGAGTCCTAGGAGCCCAAGGGGAGGCAGAATGTGAACCTAGTGAAGATGGTTCTGAGGGCAGTTCTGTTGGGACTGATGATGCAGGTTCTCAGGCCATGATATACCTGCCCTCTGGGCAGACTGCAAGGGCAAATTCTAGTCGCAATTTCACCCCTCCTTCAGCCAGTACTAAAGCTGTGGCAACTCCCAGACCACCACAGATCCCTGAAGCAGGACCTCCACCGGTTTCTCCAAAAAGTGCCTTGACACGAGCCAAGTGGCTTGCCATTCAAGAGAAGACAAGCGGAGAAGGATCAGGACGGGGCTCCACCAACCAGCCACGACTAATGCAGGTTATTGCCATGTCGAAGCAGCAAGGACTCCTACCCTCCTCCTCATCCTCTGGGGAAAAATCCTCAGAAACTACCTCCACCTGCTCTGGTACCTCATCTGCCATAGACTCCCCACATTGCCTTCAGCCCTCAGAGCATCAGCAGGAGGGACTGGGGATCATCACAGTGGATGCCCACGCCCCCAATCATCCTGTTGTCCAAGCTTTAACGCCACCACAAGCTTTCCTCTTGGCAGGTGGTCGAAATTCAACAGTTTCCAATGGAGATGACCCATGCTACTCCTATTATTCGAACAAGGTTAATCGAGGAGAATCATCTGATCGTGGTAGCACCTTCTGCCCACGTCGCTCAGCATCGCCAGCAACAGCCATTGAACCCTCTAGCTTTCCACCACACCAACAGGTTGAGGGGTCAGCTGAGGCTCAGCGTAGGGAGATGGTCATGAGACGCAAGACAGCACTAGTTCTGCTGGATCGAGAGATCCGGAACCACAATGAACAGGAGAATTATTATAAGAGTCTGCAGGGTCGAAGGTTTAGGGATTAGTCTTGATTGATGCTTCAATCAAATTAAGTTATCAAAAAGCAAAGTCCATGGAAAAACTTTATTTACCAGAACACCGGACTGCTGCACGATGTGCTGTAGAAATCCTGCTGCTGTTCGTGTTGTGACAGAGCAGCTTAGTCACTTCTGCCTCTTTATGATCCAACTAAATTCATGATGTATTTATTAAATGTCCTCTGATGTCAAAATTAGACCAGATTTAAAATTAAAAAAAAAAACCTTCAATGGTTCTAATTAGACAGCAACGCAGTATGAATGAAGCATTAATTTAACAAGATGGTTGGATCTGTTTGACAGAAGATCAGCCTTCCTGGTTCTGTCCCATCACTACAGAGCTGGGAAGTTTCCATAGCAACCCAGTTATTCAAAGAGATTAAGTCCATGAGCATAAGGACAACTTTTAAACATTTCCTCTGGAAGCACTAACAAGAAATGGAACCAGGGGCCTCATTTACAAAACTGCATAGAATCCTTACTAAAAACCTACTTTAGCTGCTTTATAAATCACACCTGTCCCAGGAATGAGCTCAGATGTTTCTGGATCATATCCCGCCTGCTACACACCCACTTTCTGTCTTGAATGGATGATGCAAACTACATTATGACCATAGAGAGCCTAAGGCCATCGGATAGCACACTACTGCTAACCACTTAAAACATTTTCCCTCTCCTGATAATAACAGTTAAATTTCTTTGATATTGATTGTGCTACTACTAGTTTACCTGTTGAAACACTAATCTTAGCAGTATTCCAAAGATGGAAGAAGGAAATCCTACAAACCTGTTAAATGTGGGATTTGAATGACATGTCCTTGTCAAAGAAAACACCAACGTTTCTTACTGTGTACACGGAGACTAATTTAATGCCGTTCAGGTCAGGCGATTGATTAAGCAGTTTATAGATCCTCCTTCCAATAAAGGCCTGGAGCTTGATGAGCTTGAGTCAAATTATATATATATATATATTGTGCTTACACAACCAGGGATATCATAAAATAACTGGAGGTCTCAGGGAACCCACTACATAAAAGTCCATAAGTTCAGTATGGTTCCCAGAAGCAGTTACCTTACATTGTATTTATATATAAATATATATATAAATATATATATATATATATATATATAAATATATATATAAATATATATATATATATATAAATATATATATAAATATATATATATATACATATATATATACATATATATATATATATATACATATATATATATATATATATATATATATATATATATATATATATATATATATATACATATATGCACATATATACATATATACACATATATATATATAAACATACACACACACATTATATATATATAATATATATATATATATATATACATATTTATATACACACATATATATATATATATATATATATATATATATATATATATATATATATATATAAACCTGTACATATACATATATACAAAACCTCTAATATTAGCCTGTATTTAATGAACTGCCGGGTATCATATTTTGGCCGGTGTCAGACTCGGCGGAGGTGAATAATGGCCGGTTTTTTTACTGTGGCCGGGTGGAATGTGGTAACAAGCAAGTACGGGGGGCGGTTGTGTCATCGTCTCACTTTTGATTTGCCAGTGATAGACCGCGAGGGTAACTTTAACCGTGCGGAGACAAAGAGGAGGTGAAAATTTGATATCAAGTTCAAAGAGAACGTGCTGATAATGCTGCAGAACACTCTGGGGAGCAGCAGCAGGGGTTGTATGAACTAGTCACTAGTCGACTTCACTGCTTTATAGTGACTTTTTATGCCTGTCTTCGACTAGTCGCTGTCACATGATAATGACCGGCAAGATGCAGTCCACGGAAAAGACAGCAGCCTGCTGTCAGCAGGTGACAAGCTCCTGCGCGTCGGGAGGCAACGCGCTGTGCCAGAGCGTCGGTACTGACACCCGCCGTAAAACGGACATTTAACCAAATTGTGACTTTACCCTCTTGCAATTTAACCTTCCCCTCACCGCCATCCTAACCTTAACCAGCGTGAGCATGTAAAACTCTGATCGTTGATGCGCTCCAGACATCTGCGTCCTGAGCACGGCCACAGTAACATTATCAAATCAGGTGTCGCCACCTCAAAAACGAATTTAACACGCGATCGTTCATGTCGGCTCATTTCCTTTTATGTTTTCTGTCTTATTTGTGCCTGATGCGTTTCGCTGCTGTGGATCGGGGCGCGTCACCTGTTTTGTTCTCGGTGACGCACCAGCGTGCACTCCGCTGTTTTTGCGGTCGGTAGATCTTTTAGAACTGCAGTTCAAAGGTAACTCATGAGGTGAATATATATGAACCCAGGTAGCAGTTTCTCTTTAGGATTGAGAGGAGATGCAGGAAGATAATAAACAGACAGGACAGAAAAATAGTCAAATAAAAACAAGTTAGTTTTTGTACCTGCTGGTTGCAACAAACAGACACCATTGAAGGTAATCAGAAGTGAGGAACAGGAAATGAAATAATCATTTTAATGTTTAGAGCAGCAGGAACTCCGAGAGGCTGCAGGCGCATCAGTGAGTTTGCGGCCGCTGCGCAGGGGGAGGGGGGAGAGGGCTGAAGCAGGGGGAGGGGGGAGAGGGCTGAAGCACGGGAGGGGGGAGAGGGCTGAAGCAGAAACTACCGTTGTTAAAAGAAATGTGTTTAACTTTGAAAATGTGGGCGCAATTTTAATTGTCAAAAACTCCAGCGAACCATTAGTTAATTTTGCTCAAATAGAAATTGAGGCCTGCCTCTAATTCTGGTCCTCCTTCCAATAAAGGCCTGGAGCTAGATGAGCTTGAGTCAAATTATATATATATATATATATATATTGTGCTTACACAACCAGGGATATCCTAAAATAACTGGAGGTCTCAGGGAACCCACTACATAAAAGTCCATAAGTTCAATATGGTTCCCAGAAGCAGTTACCTTAATAGGGACCGTGCGTGCTGTTACTTTGTAGATAACGGAGCCGTTTATGGCACGGATGAGCAAGGCAGGGTCTATGGGCATTACTGGAATCAAAGTGTGCTTACCACTTCCTGGGATATCAGATCACCCTCTGAACCTGAGTCAATCAAAGTCTCGTAAACTTTCTGTGTCTGGCCATAGGTCACCAGCACGCTGACGGGGGGTCGAGAGGGTGGAGAGGAAGATGAAAAGCGGCGCACTAGGTGCCCTCCCGCTAGCGAGCTCCCACGTTTCCCAGACAGTGATGCATCTGGCGACTGGGACGTGCACAGTACCAACACAGCCCCTCCCTCATCCGTGGCTGTCGCTCAGATGCGTGGAGCATTCCCACTCCCAGCTGCATAGGTTCCACAGGGGTGGAGCCTCAGGAGTGGCGGGAGGCTGTGAGAAGGGCATGAGGGGTGCGGAGGTAAAATCCAGCAAGCGGCATTGCTCTCTGCTTCGTTCCATCCTCAGTCGATCGATGCATGTAGCCAGCTTGATTGGCTCCTCCAGTTCCTCTGGAACATCCCGTGCAGCCAGCTCGTCCTTGAGAGAGCTGAAGAGGCCTCGAAGAAAAACGTTGATCTGCGCTTCCTCCGGCCAGCGGGTGTTGGCTGCCAAGGTCCGGAACTCCACTGCGTAGGCGGAGACGCTACGGCTGCCCTGCCTAAGGTGGAGTAAGTCAGCAGTAGCAGTTCGGTGAGGCGTGGTGGGGTCGAACACCATGAGCAGCTGGCGAGAGAATTCCCGGAAAAAGCGGCCGAGGTCCAAGCCTCAGTCACATTCTGCCAGGCCCCACTTCTTGGCTTGTCCAGTTAGGAAGCTCATGGTGAAGGCCACTTTGCTTTCTTCAGAGGGGAATTCACCGAGGTTGAAATCAAAATGCAGCCTGCAGGAGGCGAGGAATGGCTGGCAGTCCACAGCTGTGCCATCGAGGATCTCGCGAGAATCCAGGCGGACCTGACGGGGTGGAGTAGGAGCCTGCTCCAGTCTAGAGAGGCGTCCATGGAGTTTCTGCATTCCGGACAGGCAGCCGCGTATCTCCCGAGCCAATACAGCAAGCTCCCCTCCTACAGCTGCATCCTCATCTGACCTAGGTAAGGGAACGTTGGTGGCAGGTAATCCTCCTGCTGGGTTGGTCATGGTGGCGTTGTAATGTCACGTGAGGGTACACAGGAATAAACCCAAATGCAGGAGGCAGGAAGACTCGATCCAGCTCTGAGTGTCTTTAATAACAAAAAATCACCACATATGTGGGAAAAAGGACTTAACAGGTCTTACTTGAAACAAAAACTAATGATGAACCCTAACCCTAACCCCACAGACTTGAAGCAACACTACAGACTCAAGCAACATTACACAACAACGCCACACCATGCACTGGGAACAGTTGCTTAAATACATGGTGTGGCAATCAGGATATTGCAGTCAGCTGTGGCACTCCACAGTGCTCCACAGAGGGGCAGGAACTGCAGGAAGAGCCACAGCCAACCTGCACAGAGAAGAAACACACATTGAAAACAATCATGAGGTGTAAACCATAACACTTACTCCAGATCCAGAGTTTACTTAAACACATATTTCTGTATAAATCCCAGATTTAGCGTAGAAAGTCACCTACACAGTTTTAAGAGGCCATTGTGTGTGTTAGCAGCTTTAGAAATGAGGCCCCTGGACTTTCGTCTTTATGTAGAACATCTTGATTGTATGTGTTTTTCTGTTGTACAAGATTGATTACTATGGTGATAACTTGTTTTTTATGATGATAGTTTGGTTACTGTGGTAATAATTTTGCCATAAAGATCATTTGATGTGTATGGTAAACTTTTCTTATCTCTAAAATATTGTTGTGCTGATTGTATCATGAAAAGTGCTCAGCAAACAAAATATCCTTGGACTTGATCATTGTGAAAAGGGAATCATTTGGTTGCTATAACCACAGCTTTATGTTCTCTGTATGTTGCTTTCTGATTGGCTAAGGTTGAGAGTGTTTGATGTTGTCTGTGAGCCTTGGACTTCAATTGTGATACACCAGGAGGCAGAGAAGGAAGACATCAGCATGAAGATGTTTAAAAAGATGAGACAACCTGAAGCTGCTGCTGGTTCTGATTTTCTCTGCAGGTTCTGGGTGGTTTATGTTTTGGCTCTGATCTTTAATAAACCTGACCAGATTCTAGTTTTCTGATGGATTTATTGAAAGAGATGTGAATGTTATAGTTTGAATGAGGATTCAGTATATTTTATGTGGTTGATTCTGAAACGCTAAGTATATATTTTCAGCAGAAGTCCAAACTAGAATCTGGTCAGTTTTATTAAACATCAGAGCCAAAACATAAACCACACAGAACAAGTACCTGTGAATATTTGGTAAATAATGGGTTGGTCCCGGCTCCTAACGTGTCTGTAGTATTGCATGTATCTGAACATAAAACTGAATGTGTAGATCATGTGAAAGAATGATGCTGCATGCTTTGTGCTCATCTGGACTAATAGTCAAAATAAAAGTATTCTGTCCACTTGCTTCTGTGCAGTTTCACTCATTTCCTTATTTATATTTTCAGTTCAATTCAAGTTTATTTCTGTAGCACCAAATCACGACAAGACTTCATTTATTTATTTTCCCATTTGTAAGACACTGGGTTGGTTGTGTTTCCTGTAATTTTATTTTGAAAAGCTACATGAGCTGCTCTGCCAGCCACACCCTTAATTTGATGGTACAAGCCAGGTGTGAGGAACACACACAGCCTGGATGAAGTGCTGACAAGCAGACAGCTAATGGACTGAAATCATTCAATCTTTTGCTAAAGAACTAGCTAGTAAAAGGACTTAAAGGAAGACAGATGGATTCCCTTTGTGTTTTAAGCAAACAGCCAACGAGGTATTTATTTGTCTTTATTTTATTGCACATTATTGTATATGTTTTAATTGTACTATCCTGTATTTAGTTTCACGGTTTAAGGGAGGTCTAAAGAAAGGAGGACAGAAGAGGTCCACAATGAAAAGACGTCCAATAAACCCGTAAAATAAATCACTTGCGTCTGTGTTGCTTGGAGGGAATCATAGTGAAACTCGCCTGTTGTCAGCAAACGCCAGTGAAGCAACAAGGACCAGATGATCTTCATCTCTTGGACAACAGTGCATGGACTGGCAGATAAGTGACCTATTCACACATAATTAAAGAAGACAATAAAGACTTTTGGTGGAAGACTCTTTTGCAACAAGAAACTTGGTTGATGAAAGGGTTACTGATTCAAATTGATGTTACCAGTGATTTGTTTGAGTACATATTGAACTGAAACTTGCTTTAATGTTGCATGCTATCCAAAGGTCAAAGGAAATGTAATTTGTTACATATTTAATACTTGAAAGGTCAAGGTGTTTCAGTGGAGTGTACCAATTGAGTTTGAAATTCTAAGCATGTTTATTTCATTCTTAAAATCAACATTTCCTAGCTAGACAATTGTTCAGCCATGTCAGAAAGAAATGAGCCTGCAGATGAGGAGGAAGATGGTGCAGAGCAGGGCCGGCTTTGTCGACAGGCGACACAGGCGGCCGCCTGGGGCGCCATCTGATGGATAGGGCGCAAAATTTCAAAAAAAAAAAAAAAAAAAAAAGTTTATTAAATTCATGTTTGTAATATGAAATGCACTCTCTGCATACTCAAAATTCCCCTTTGAAATGACATGAAATTAAAACATCAATATTTAAATTCTAATGATCCGGCTGCATTTCGAGCTCCCGCTTGAGCCACCGCTCCGATGCATTTGACCGTTAAGGTTGCCATAGATACGTGTGTGGGTGGCACTGTGAAGGACATCCTGTTGTCGTCGCGTTTAAACGTTTGATATTTTACGAGGAAAAGAACGCCTAAGCCATCGGGATCAGCATTCCGAAAGCGAAGGAAGGAAGAAGAATAAAAACGGGCCCAAAGCAGAGGTATGTAGACTTTATAAGTTTTGCAAAGGAACTTTTTGCGTTAGCGTTGTAGCTAACTGCCTCTCCTGCCACGCACGGTCCACGGACGGACACTCGCTAGCTGTTTACACACACACAATACAGTATCTGTAACTTTAACCCATTCATTTTACTTTTGAATCGTCGTGTCCAGATGCAGTGAGACAATGTTGAGTCTCACTGTGATGATGAGGAATGTAAGATTTTTTACTGGTTTTTGGAGCTTGATTGCAGCCTTTTATGAACGTTGTTTCAAGTTTTAAGTACGCATACAATATGAATTTAATATTTGTATATCAGAAGAACGTTAGGTGTGGGTGTGGCAAATTTTCAACTTTGTCCGACACATCGGGCGGGAGGCACCGCCGCGGCCGTGGCGGGGACTCCCCCGCTGCCGCCGGGCCCGGCGGGGAGTGAGAACTGCCTAAACTCAGCATGACATCTTATGCCGTCTCTTTCTTGTTTACGCTGCAGCGTCTTCATCCAGGCGTCACGCAGCAGCACATTTACTGAGCTACAATCTCAGCATCTAGAACCAGGTGAGTAAGTTGTTAGGCTATTTGTAATCAGCAGTAGAAACGGACTTTTTCAAATTAAACGGCTTATCACATATATCGATATGCAAAATTAATTTATTTAAATCCACACCAGACACTTGTTTTTGGCACAATCAGTGCAGCATTGATTTAGCATTGAGAATATTAAATAATCTCAACCTACACATCTGAAATTGTCTCCTTAAGATGTTATTGTCAATTAGGCTGTAAATTTGTAAAAAAGGATGGACGTTAGTTTTTGTGACATAGTGAGTCATCAAGGTATAAAGGTTTATGCCCTGAAGAAGGTCGTACCGGTGTTTCCTTGTTTAATAAATGAAATCCTCAGAGTGCCTCAGATCACCGGATCTTCTTCCTCATATTCTACAATTTATTGGATGCTGAAGAGCACCTGAGAGTGAGACATAAGTTTTTTCAAATATTCCCCACTTCCACCTGTTTTTGATAATTTTATTCATGTTTTCATAGAACAGATTAAAAAAGATCAATAAAATAAAAAGTCCAGTAATATTAAAAATAGTGAAAAGCATCACTGCACATGACCGAGGAATATTGAATGTGAAAGTGGCGCTGTTCTTAATTCATGCATCAGAGGGTTAAGTTGTGTGTGTGTGTGTGTGTGTGTGTATGTGTGTGTGTGTGTGTGTGTATTTTCTCACAGAAGAAGAACCCAACACCAGCAGACTCCGTGCTCCAGTCCAACAGCCTGAAGAGACGCCATCATCAGCTTCAACAGATGTGTGTGAACATGTAGGAGCTGCTGGCCCCGTGGATCCTGCTGACCGGCCACAGCAGTTGAACAAAATGGAAAGTAGAACTTTCTTTATGATGACACTGATGTTTGAGTTTTGCTTTTGATTGTACAGTTTAATGCTGCTGTAGATTTTGCATCCCCCCCCCCCCCATGACATTTGCACAACATTTTGAGTTGTCGGTTATTGTAATATTCCCAGGTTACTTATCTTTCAAGCTTACATTTATTCTTCAGGCTGTTGACTTTAAAGAGTTGCTGTGTGAATATTTAAAATAAAAAATTAGTAACTAAGGAATAACTGTGGAGTTGCTTTTTCCAATGTGTGGACTTGGGTTTGGGTGAGGGGGGGGGGGGGCGCAAATGGGCACTCTCGCCTTGGGCACCAAATTACCCAGAGCCGGCCCTGGTGCAGAGCCACTGCGAGAGGAAGAGCAGCTGCTCAGACGTGGAGCACGCCAACGTACTCTAACAGAGAAGGGCAAGGCACTACAAGAAGAGAAAATTAAAGCTCTTACACAAAGATTTAACTACATTTACAAAAAATGGAAAGCACATGTTAAATTATTTAAACATTTGTCAAAAGAGTCCTCGGAGCCTTTATCAGAGGGTCTACTTAATGACATCTTGGGGGAGGTTAAAGGGCTTTGTGCAGACATCCAGCGTGTTTATGAAGATCTGCGCAAACTCTCAACTCCAGATCAAGAAACACGGAGAAGAGTAGATTTGCGTGTGGAGATTTCAAACTTCATCCTTTCTAAAGCTTCACGTCACCTGGAAGCACAAGCGCAGGAAGAGGATCAGGTTTGGCCAGAAGCTGGCTCTTTTTGGAGCACAAGTAAAAGTGAAACAGAATCCATCACCTCCGTCATAAAGAGCACCACCTCTGAGCATTCAAAAACTTCTTCAGCAAAGAGGCAAGAAGCGGCTGCGGACGCTGCAGCAAGCCAAGCTGTTCTAAAAGTGTTAAAGGAACAAGAAAGAGAACAATTGGAATTACAGCGCCTGGAAGCAGAAGCCAAGAAGAGGATAGCAGCTCAAGAGGCAGCAGCTAAACAGTGGTGCTTAGAGCAAGAGGAAGAAGAGGTGAGGAGGAGAAAAAAGAAAGAAGAGGCTAAAATGACAGCTAAATTAGAAGAACACACAGCTCTACAAATGGCTCTAGAAGAGAAACGAAGGAGAATCCACCATCTAGAAACCATGAAAGAGCTCAGCGCTGCACAGGCAAGAATGCAGGTATATGATCAAGGATCTGACATTAAGAAAGGGGTTAAGCGACCTATAAGCCATAAGATGGCAGTACATGTTAACCCATCAAGCCAAACAAGCTGTCAACAATCATCTATAACCCTTGTTCCACAACAACCTCTGAGTTCTTCCTCAAACCAAGACACTGCAGATTTAGTTAAGCTACTTGCAGATGCTTTAAATACAAACAGAATTCCACTACCCGAACCTTCAATATTCAGCGGGGATCCGTTGAAATACAGTGATTGGAAGCTGTCATTCCAAACCTTGATTGATCAAAAGAATATTCAGAATAAAGAAAAGATATATTACCTTCGTAAATATGTTGGTGGACAAGTTAAAAATGCACTAGATGGTTATTTCCTGCTTGGAACCGAGTCTGCCTATGGTTCAGCGTGGGAGATCTTGGAGGAGAGATATGGAAACCCATTTACAGTTGCAACAGCATATAGGGATAAACTTCAAGCATGGGCCAAGATTGGACCTAAAGACAGCACCGATCTAAGAGAGTTTGCTGATTTTCTACGGAGCTGCGAAGCCGCCATGGTTCATATCAAGGCACTGGAGATCCTAAATGACTCCAGTGAAAACAGAAAGATTCTGGTGAAGTTACCTGATTGGTTAACTGCAAGATGGAACCGAAAAGTGATGGAAATGGAAGAGGAGAATGGCCAATTCCCTTTCAGTCAGTTTGTAAGATTTCTGACCAGAGAATCACGAATTGCCTGTAATCCAATAACATCATTGCAATCATTAAAGCTAAGTGACAAATCCAAACAACAAAATGTCAAAGTCAAAACATTAGTCACACGTTCGAATGAAGAAACTGTCAACATATGTGTTTTTTGTAAGAAGCATGGACATTCTTTGCACACATGCAGAAAGTTTATGCAAGATGAAGTCTCAGACTGAGTTAGATTTGTCAAGGCTGAAAAGTTGTGTTTTGGATGCCTCAACTCAGGTCATTTCTCAAAGAGCTGCAACTGTAGGAGTGTTTGTAATATATGCAATAAGCAACATCCTACTTGTTTGCATGAAGAGCGAGACAAAAGAGAACAAAGGGCAGCACAAGTTAAGCAAAGTCAAGTTCATGAAACTTTTACTCAAGGAAATAATAAAGTCAACCCACAAACAAGGCTAACAAGAGACATTGTCACAGCTTCTACCTTCAAGGTCATTCAAATTGAAGCTACTTTCCAAACAGCTGCAATAATTCCAGTTTGGCTTTCCTATGCTTCACAGCCAGTTCCGGAAGTGCTTGTTTATGCATTACTAGATTCTCAAAGTGACACAACATTTGTGCTAAGCGATGCAGCTGACTCTTTGGAGGCACCCAAGGAACAAGTGAAGTTGAAGCTTTCTACAATGACATCACAAACTACTACAGTAAGGTCTCAACGAGTAAATAATTTACGAGTTCGGGGTTTCTACTCAAATAAAAAAATCAATTTACCACCAGCCTACACAAGCGATTTTATTCCTGCCAACAGAGCTCACATACCAACTGACAAAACTGCAGAGGCTTGGTCCCACCTAGAGCACCTGAAATATGACATAGCACCCCTACAGGACTGTGAGGTAGGCCTGCTTATCGGCTACAACTGCTCACAAGCCTTTCTACCAAGGGAAGTTGTGTCTGGTCAAGACAATGAGCCCTTTGCTCAACGCACAGATCTTGGATGGAGCATTGTTGGTCATGGCAATCCCTGTGTCGAGTATGGAGATGCAATTGGAATTCGTTATCGTATAGTTGTCCGTCAAGTGAAACCAAAGGTTGACGCTGCTCTCAATCTAAAAGGTGAAGTTCACTATGTGAACAGATCAAAGGTTAAAGAAATTACACCTTCAGACATTATAAATATTCTTGAGACAGATTTTTCAGAGAAAATTAACAAGGACTGTGTGTCTCAAGATGACTTGAACTTCTTGTCCAACCTTAAAGAAAACATAACTCAAAAGAAGGATGGACATCTTGAAATGCCATTGCCATTCAAAGGAGAAAGGCCACGGTTGCCAAACAATAAGATGTGTACTATGCATCGCTTACAGTGTCTGGAAAGGAAGCTAAGAAAGGATAAAACCTATGTGAATTTCATGACTGACATGATTGTTCGGGGAGATGCTGAAAAAATTCCAGAGGAGGAAATCTGGCAAAATGAACTACCTGCTTCTAAATACAAGATGGAAGAAGTACAAGATGATGATCCTGAACTCCGCAGGGCTTCAGTGTTTAACACAAAGGCAAAGGAGAGCAGATCACTTTTAGAGCGCTTTGAGAAGTTCTCTGACTGGTCAAGATTAGTGAAAGCTGTTGCCAGATTGAAGAGACGAGTCACGGAACACAAAAGGTTGAGACAAAGAACCAATGAGGGTACAAGCTTGGAGGAAAGAGAAGATGCAGAAATTGCTATTGTCAAGCTGGTTCAAAGAGAAGCATTTCCAGATGAGATCAAAGCTTAAATGCAAAGGAAGGTGTAGTTAAAACCAAGTACAGCAAGCTGAAAGGGTTAAGTCCCACCTTGGATGAAGATGGAGTTTTGAGAGTAGGAGGACGTTTAAATCAATCAGCGTTACATCCTCACATAAAACATCCAGTAATACTACCAAAGAACAGCCATATATCCTCTCTGCTTGTCAAGCATTTTCATGAAAGGATTCATCATCAGGGATGAGGAATAACGGTAAATGAACTCAGAGCGAATGGATGGTGGATCCTAGGAAGCAGTGGCATTGTATCATCACACATCTTTAAATGTGTTAAGTGTCGAAAGTACCGAAGATGTACTGAAACCCAAAAGATGGGTGACTTACCTCAAGACAGAATGGAAACAATGCCTCCATTCACCTACACTGGCATGGATTGCTTTGGGAAGAAAAGAGGTTAAAAGATATGGACTTCTACTCACCTGTTTATGTTCAAGAGCCATACACATAGAAATGCTTGACGATATGACCACTGACGCATTCATAAATGCATTAAGAGCCTTTATTGCCATAAGAGGAAATGTCCGTCTACTTCGATGTGACCAAGGAACCAATTTCATTGGTGCAAAAAGGGAGCTTGCAGAACTCGTAAAAGGAATGGACGAAGAAAGGGTCAAAGCTCTAAAATGTGAATTTCTAATGAATCCCCCAGCAGCAAGCCACATGGGTGGCATCTGGGAACGACAGATTAGGACTATTCGAAGTGTTCTCACAAGCATTCTTGACAATTCAGCTCAAAGACTGGACAGTTCATCTCTAAGAACTTTGTTTTATGTAATAATGGCGATTGTCAATAGCAGACCACTTACAGTTGAGAATTTGAATGATCCATCTGCACCTGAACCTTTAACTCCAAATCACATTCTTACAATGAAGTCAACAATTATCCTTCCTCCACCTGGGCAGTTTGTCAAAGAAGACCTGTATCTGAAAAAAGGTGGCGCAGAGTCCAGTATTTGGATAATGAATTTTGGATTCGTTGGAAAAAGGAATACCTGCTGAGTTTACAACAAAGATAAAAATGGCAGAAAACCAGAAGAAACATGAAGGTGAATGACATCATGCTTTTACAGAACGAGCAGGCACCACGAAATGAATGGAAACTAACCAGAATAGCCGAGGTCTATCCAGGGTTAGATGATAAAGTTTGAAAAGTAAGATTGTTGGTTGGTGATACCACATTTGATGGAAAGGGTAAACCTATGACTAAAACAGTGTTCCTTGACAGACCTGTACATGAACTTGTTACATTGATTGAAGCAAATGAAAGTACTTAAGTCTGACCAGCCCCTAAGTTTCCTTAGAAATCACACACTGGGTTTTGTGTGATTTGGTGGGAGTGTAACTGCTGTTGCTGTTTATTTCTTCATTTATTTATTTTCCCATTTGTAAGACACTGGGTTGGTTGTGTTTCCTGTAATTTTATTTTGAAAAGGTACATGAGCTGCTCTGCCAGCCACACCCTTAATTTGATGGTACAAGCCAGGTGTGAGGAACACACACAGCCTGAATGAAGTGCTGACAAGCAGACAGCTAATGGACTGAAAACATTCAATCTTTTGCTAAAGAACAAACTAGTAAAAGGACTTAAAGGAAACTAGTAAAAGGACTTAAAGGAAGACAGATGGATTCCCTTTGTGTTTTAAGCAAAACAGCCAACGAGGTATTCATTTGTCTTTATTTTATTGCACATTATTGTATATGTTTTAATTGTACTATCCTGTATTTAGTTTCACGGTTTAAGGGAGGTCTAAAGAAAGGAGGACAGAAGAGGCCCACAATGAAAAGACGTCCAATAAACCCGTAAAAGAAATCACTTGCGTCTGTATTGCTTGGAGGGAATCATAATCAGAATGACTTGATATTGATATGGTATCACTGTGGGGTTGTATACTGTTGATCTAAAGTGGAATGACCCAGTGGAAACAGCAATTTTCCATTTTAGAGCATTTTGAAATCACTGAAAGTTTGGTCGTATATGGGCAATTTAAAAAGGCCTTTATTTTGCAAAGCACCATCAGAATGACTTGTTACTGATATGGTATCACTGTGGGGTTGTATACTGTTGATCTAAAGTTGAATGACCCAGTGGAAACAGCAATTTTCCATTTTAGAGCATTTTGAATCACTGAAAGTTTGGTCGTATAAGGGCAATTTAAAAAGGCCTTTATTTTGGAAAGCACCATCAGAATGACTTGATACTGATATGGTTTCACTGTGGGGTTGTATACTGTTGATCTAAAGTGGAATTAACCTGTGGAAACAGCAATTTTCCATTTTAGAGCATTTTGAAATCACTGACATTTTGGTAGTATACGGGCAATTTAAAAAGGCCTTTGTTTTGGAAAGCACCATCAGAATGACTTGATATTGATATGGTATCACTGTGGGGATGTATACTGTTGATTTAAAGTGGAATGACTAGTGGAAACAGCAATTTTCCATTTTAGAGCATTTTGAAATCACTGAAAGTTTGGTCGTATATGGGCAATTTAAAAAGGCCTTTATTTTGGAAAGCACCATCAGAATGACTTGATATTGATTTGGTATCAATGTGGGGTTGTATACTGTAGATCTAAAGTGGAATTAACCTGTGGAAACAGCAATTTTCCATTTTAGAGCATTTTGAAATCACTGTTATAGCATTTTGAAATCACTGAAAACTAGGTGAATTGTGGACAATTTAAAAAGGCCTTTGTTTTGGAAAGCAACATCAGAAATATTTGATATTGATATGGTATCACTGTGGGGTTGTGTACTGCAGATCTAAATTGGAATTACCCTGTGGAAATAGCACTTTTCCATTTTAGAGCATTTTGAAATCACTGAAAATTAGGTCAATTGTGGACAATTTAAAAAGGCCTTTATTTTGGAAAGCAACATCACAATGACTTGATATTGATATGGTATCACTGTGGGGTTGTGTACTGCAGATCTAAATTGGAATTACCCTGTGGAAACAGCAATTTTCCATTTTAGAGCATTTTGAAATCACTGTTATAGCATTTTGAAATCACTGAAAATTAGGTCAGTTGTGGACAATTTAAAAATGCCTTTATTTTGGAAAACAACATCAGAATTACTTGATATTGATATGGTATCACTGTGGGGTTGTGTACTGCAGATCTAAATTGGAATTACCCTGTGGAAATAGCACTTTTCCATTTTAGAGCATTTTGAAATCACTGAAAATTAGGTCAATTGTGGACAATTTAAAAAGGCCTTTATTTTGGAAAGCAACATCACAATGACTTGATATTGATATGGTATCACTGTGGGGTTGTGTACTGCAGATCTAAATTGGAATTACCCTGTGGAAACAGCAATTTTCCATTTTAGAGCATTTTGAAATCACTGTTATAGCATTTTGAAATCACTGAAAATTAGGTCAGTTGTGGACAATTTAAAAATGCCTTTATTTTGGAAAACAACATCAGAATTACTTGATATTGATATGGTATCACTGTGGGGTTGTGTACTGCAGATCTAAATTGGAATTACCCTGTGGAAATAGCACTTTTCCATTTTAGAGCATTTTGAAATCACTGAAAATTAGGTCAATTGTGGACAATTTAAAAAGGCCTTTATTTTGGAAAGCAACATCACAATGACTTGATATTGATATGGTATCACTGTGGGGTTGTGTACTGCAGATCTAAATTGGAATTACCCTGTGGAAACAGCAATTTTCCATTTTAGAGCATTTTGAAATCACTGTTATAGCATTTTGAAATCACTGAAAATTAGGTCAGTTGTGGACAATTTAAAAATGCCTTTATTTTGGAAAACAACATCAGAATTACTTGATATTGATATGGTATCACTGTGGGGTTGTGTACTGCAGATCTAAATTGGAATTACCCTGTGGAAATAGCACTTTTCCATTTTAGAGCATTTTGAAATCACTGTTATAGCATTTTTAAATTACTGAAAATTAGGTCAATTGTGGACTTTTTAAAAAGGCCTTTATTTTGGAAAGCAACATCAGAATGACTTGATATTGATATGGTATCACTGTGGGGTTGTATACTGTAGATCTAAAGTGGAATTAACCTGTGGAAACAGCAATTTTCCCTTTTAGAGCATTTTGAAATCACTGTTATAGCATTTTGAAATCACTGAAAATTAGGTCAATTGTGGACAATATAAAAAGGCCTTTACTTTGGAAGGCAACATCAGAATGACTTGATATTGATATGGTATCACTGTGGGGTTGTATACTGTAGATCTAAAGTGGAATTACCCTGTGGAAATAGCACTTTTCCATTTTAGAGCATTTTGAAATCACTGAAAGATAGGTCAATTGTGGACAATTTAAAAACGCCTTTATTTTGGAAAGCAACATCAGAATGACTTGATATTGATGTGGTATCACTGTGGGGTTGTATACTGTAGATCTAAAGTGGAATTAACCTGTGGAAACAGCAATTTTCCCTTTTAGAGCATTTTGAAATCACTGTTATAGCATTTTGAAATCACTGAAAATTAGGTCAATTGTGGACAATATAAAAAGGCCTTTACTTTGGAAAACAACATCAGAATGACTTGATATTGATATGGTATCACTGTGGGGTTGTATACTGTAGATCTAAAGTGGAATTACCCTGTGGAAATAGCACTTTTCCATTTTAGAGCATTTTGAAATCACTGAAAATTAGGTCAATTGTGGACAATTTAAAAAGGCCTTTATTTTGGAAAGCAACATCAGAATGACTTGATATTGATATGGTATCACTGTGGGGTTGTGTACTGCAGATCTAAATTGGAATTACCCTGTGGAAACAGCAATTTTCCATTTTAGAGCATTTTGAAATCACTGTTATAGCATTTTGAAATCACTGAAAATTAGGTCAGTTGTGGACAATTTAAAAATGCCTTTATTTTGGAAAACAACATCAGAATTACTTGATATTGATATGGTATCACTGTGGGGTTGTGTACTGCAGATCTAAATTGGAATTACCCTGTGGAAATAGCACTTTTCCATTTTAGAGCATTTTGAAATCACTGTTATAGCATTTTGAAATCACTGAAAATTAGGTCAATTGTGGACAATATAAAAAGGCCTTTACTTTGGAAGGCAACATCAGAATGACTTGATATTGATATGGTATCACTGTGGGGTTGTATACTGTAGATCTAAAGTGGAATTACCCTGTGGAAACAGCAATTTTCCATTTTAGAGCATTTTGAAATCACTGTTATAACATTTTGAAATCACTGAAAATTAGGTCAATTGTGGACAATTTAAAAAGACCTTTATTTTGGAAAGCAACATCAGAATGACTTGATATTGATGTGGTATCACTGTGGGGTTGTATACTGTAGATCTAAAGTGGAATTAACCTGTGGAAATAGCACTTTTCCATTTTAGAGCATTTTTGAAATCACTGTTATAGCATTTTGAAATCACTGAAATTTAGGTCAATTGTGGACAATTTAAAAAGGCCTTTATTTTGGAAGGCAACATCAAAATGACTTGATATTGATATGGTATCACTGTGGGATTGTATACTGTAGCTCTAAAGTGGAATTACCCTTTGGAAACAGCACTTTTCCATTTCAGAGCATTTTGAAATTACTGTTATAGCATTTTGAAATCACTGAAAATTGGGTCAATTGTGGACAATTTAAAAATGCCTTTATTTTAGAAAGCAACATCAGAATGACTTGATATTGATATGGTATCACTGTGGGGTTGCATACTGTAGATCTAAAGTGGAATTAACCTGTGGAAACAGCAATTTTCCATTTTAGAGCATTTTGAATTCACTGTTATAGCATTTTGAAATCACTAAAAATTAGGTCAGTTGTGGACAATTTAAAAATGCCTTTATTTTGGAAAACAACATCAGAATTACTTGATATTGATATGGTATCACTGTGGGGTTGTGTACTGCAGATCCAAATAGGAATTACCCTGTGGAAATAGCACTTTTCCATTTTAGAGCATTTTGAAATCACTGAAAATTAGGTCAATTGTGGACAATTTAAAAAGGCCTTTATTTTGGAAACCAACATCAGAATGACTTGATATTGATATGGTATCACTGTGGGGTTGTATACTGTAGATCTAAGGTGGAAATACCCTGTGGAAACAGCAATTTTCCATTTTAGAGCATTTTGAAATCACTGTTATAGCATTTTGAAATCACTGAAAATTAGGTCAATTGTGGACAATTTAAAAAGGCCTTTATTTTGGAAGGCAACATCAGAATGACTTGATATTGATATGGTATCACTGTGGGGTTGTATATGGTAGATCTAAAGTGGAATTAACCTGTGGAAACAGCACTTTTCCATTTCAGAGCATTTTGAAATTACTGTTATAGCATTTTGAAATCACTGAAAATTGGGTCAATTGTGGACAATTTAAAAAGGCCTTTATTTTGGAAGGCAACATCAGAACGACTTGATATTGATATGGTATCACTGTGGGGTTTCATACTGTAGATCTAAAGTGGAATTACCCTGTGGAAACAGCACTTTTCCATTTCAGAGCATTTTGAAATCACTGAAAATTAGGTCAGTTGTGGACAATTTAAAATTGCCTTTATTTTGGAAAGCAACATCAGAATTACTTGATATTGATATGGTATCACTGTGGGGTTGTGTACTGCAGATATAAATTGGAATTACCCTGTGGAAATAGCACTTTTCTATTTTAGAGCATTTTGAAATCACTGAAAATTAGGTCAATTGTGGACAATTTAAAAAGGCCTTTATTTTGGAAAGCAACATCAGAATGACTTGATATTGATATGGTATCACTGTGGGGTTGTATACTGTATATCTAAAGTGGAATTAACCTGTGGAAACAGCAATTTTCCATTTTAGAGCATTTTGAAATCACTGTTATAGCATTTTGAAATCACTGAAAATTATGTCAGTTTTGGACAATTTAAAAATGCTTTTATTTTGGAAAACAACATCAGAATTACTTGATATTAATATGGTATCACTGTGGGGTTGTGTACTGCAGATCTAAATTGGAATTACCCTGTGGAAATAGCACTTTTCCATTTTAGAGCATTTTAAAATCACTGAAAATTAGGTCAATTGTGGACAATTTAAAAAGGCCTTTATTTTGGAAACCAACATCAGAATGACTTGATATTGATATGGTATCACTGTGGGGTTGTATACTGTAGATCTAAAGTTGAATTACCCTGTGGAAACAGCAATTTTCCATTTTAGAGCATTTTGAAATTACTGAAAATTAGGTCAATTGTGGACAATTTAAAAATGCCTTTATTTTGGAAAGCAACATCAGAATTACTTGATATTGATATGGTATCACTGTGGGGTTGTCTACTGCATATCTAAATTGGAATTACCCTGTGGAAATAGCACTTTTCCATTTTAGAGCATTTTGAAATCACTGAAAATTAGGTCAATTGTGGACAATTTAAAAAGGCCTTTATTTTGGAAAGCAACATTAGAAAGACTTTATATTGATATGGAATCACTGTGGGGTTGTATACTGTAGATCTAAAGTGGAATTACCCTGTGGAAAAAGCAATTTTCCATTTTAGAGCATTTTGAAATCACTGTTATAGCATTTTGAAATTACTGAAAATTAGGTCAATTGTGGACAATTTAAAAATGCCTTTATTTTGGAAAGCAACATCAGAATTACTTGATATTGATATGGTATCACTGTGGGGTTGTGTACTGTAGATCTAAATTGGAATTACCCTGTGGAAATAGCACTTTTCCATTTTAGAGCATTTTGAAATCACTGAAAGATAGGTCAATTGTGGACAATTTAAAAACGCCTTTATTTTGGAAAGCAACATCAGAATTACTTGATATTGATGTGGTATCACTGTGGGGTTGTGTACTGTAGATCTAAATTGGAATTAACCTGTGGAAATAGCACTTTTCCATTTTAGAGCATTTTGAAATCACTGTTATAGCATTTTGAAATCACTGAAATTTAGGTCAATTGTGGACAATTTAAAAAGGCCTTTATTTTGGAAGGCAACATCAAAATGACTTGATATTGATATGGTATCACTGTGGGGTTGTATACTGTAGCTCTAAAGTGGAATTACCCTTTGGAAACAGCACTTTTCCATTTCAGAGCATTTTGAAATCACTGAAAATTGGGTCAATTGTGGACAATTTAAAAATGCCTTTATTTTAGAAAGCAACATCAGAATTACTTGATATTGATATGGTATCACTGTGGGGTTGTGTACTGCAGATATAAATTGGAATTACCCTGTGGAAATAGCAGTTTTCTATTTTAGAGCATTTTGAAATCACTGAAAATTAGGTCAATTGTGGACAATTTTAAAAGGCCTTTATTTTGGAAAGCAACATCAGAATGACTTGATATTGATATGGTATCAATGTGGGGTTGTATACTGTAGATCTAAAGTGGAATTAACCTGTGGAAACAGCAATTTTCCATTTTAGAGCATTTTGAATTCACTGTTATAGCATTTTGAAATAACTGAAACTTAGGTCAATTGTGGACAATTTAAAAAGGCCTTTATTTTGGAAAGCAACATCAGAATGAGTTGATATTGATATGGTATCACTGTGGGGTTGTATACTGTAGACCTAAAGTGGAATTACCCTGTGGAAACAGCAATTTTCCATTTTAGAGCATTTTGAAATCACTGTTATAGCATTTTGAAATCACTAAAAATTAGGTCAGTTGTGGACAATTTAAAAATGCCTTTATTTTGGAAAACAACATCAGAATTACTTGATATTGATATGGTATCAATGTGGGGTTGTATACTGTAGATCTAAAGTGGAAATACCCTGTGGAAACAGCAATTTTCCATTTTAGAGCATTTTGAAATCACTGTTATAGCATTTTGAAATCACTGAAAATTAGGTCAATTGTGGACAATTTAAAAAGGCCTTTATTTTGGAAGGCAACATCAGAATGACTTGATATTGATATGGTATCACTGTGGGGTTGTATACTGTAGATCTAAAGTGGAAATAACCTGTGGAAACAGCAAGTTTCCATTTTAGAGCATTTTGAAATCGCTGTTATAGCATTTTGAAATCACTTAAAATTAGGTCAATTGTGGACAATTTAAAAAGGCCTTTATTTTGGAAAGCAACATCAGAATGACTTGATATTGATATGGTATCACTGTGGGGTTGTGTACTGCAGATCTAAATTGGAATTACCCTGTGGAAATAGCACTTTTCTATTTTAGAGCATTTTGAAATCACTGAAAATTAGGTGAATTGTGGAATATTTAAAAAGGCCTTTATTTTGGAAGGCAACATCAGAATGACTTGATATTGATATGGTATCACTGTGGGGTTGTATACTGTAGATCTAAAGTGAAAATAACCTGTGGAAACAGCAAGTTTCCATTTTAGAGCATTTTGAAATCGCTGTTATAGCATTTTGAAATCACTTAAAATTAGGTCAATTGTGGACAATTTAAAAAGGCCTTTATTTTGGAAAGCAACATCAGAATGACTTGATATTGATATGGTATCACTGTGGGGTTGTGTACTGCAGATCTAAATTGGAATTACCCTGTGGAAATAGCAGTTTTCCATTTTAGAGCATTTTGAAATCACTGAAAATTAGGTGAATTGTGGACAATTTAAAAAGGCCTTTATTTTGGAAGGCAACATCAGAATGACTTGATATTGATATGGTATCACTGTGGGGTTGTATACTGTAGTTCTAAAGTGGAATTACCCTTTGGAAACAGCACTTTTCCATTTTAGAGCATTTTGAAATTACTGTTATAGAATTTTGAAATCACTGAAAATTAGGTCAGTTGTGGACATTTTAAAATGCCTTTATTTTGGAAAGCAACATCAGAATGACTTGATATTGATATGGTATCACTGTGGGGTTGTGTACTGCAGATCTAAATTGGAATTACCCTGTGGAAATAGCACTTTTCCATTTTAGAGCATTTTGAAATCACTGAAAATTAGGTGAATTGTGGACAATTTAAAAAGGCCTTTATTTTGGAAGGCAACATCAGAATGACTTGATATTGATATGGTATCACTGTGGGGATGTTTACTGCAGATCTAAATTGGAATTACCCTGTGGAAATAGCACTTTTCCATTTTAGAGCATTTTGAAATCACTGTTATAGCATTTTGAAATCACTGAAAATTAGGTCAGTTGTGGACATTTAAAAATGCCTTTATTTTGGAAAGCAACATCAGAATTCCTTGATATTGATATGGTATCACTGTGGGGATGTTTACTGCAGATCTAAATTGGAATTACCCTGTGGAAATAGCACTTTTCCATTTTAGAGCATTTTGAAATCACTGTTATAGCATTTTGAAATCACTGAAAATTAGGTCAATTGTGGACAATTTAAAAAGGCCTTTATTTTGGAAGGCAACATCAGAATGACTTGATATTGATATGGTATCACTGTGGGGTTTCATACTGTAGATCTAAAGTGGAATTACCCTGTGAAAACAGCAATTTTCCATTTTAGAGCATTTTGAAATCACTGTTATAGCATTTTCAAATCACTGAAAATTAGGTCAGTTGTGGACAATTTAAAAATGCCTTTATTTTGGAAAGCAACATCAGAATTACTTGATATTGATATGGTATCACTGTGGGGTTGTGTACTGCAGATCTAAATTGGAATTACCCTGTGGAAAAAGCAATTTTCCATTTTAGAGCATTTTGAAATCACTGTTATAGCATTTTGAAATTACTGAAAATTAGGTCAATTGTGGACAATTTAAAAATGCCTTTATTTTGGAAAGCAACATCAGAATTACTTGATATTGATATGGTATCACTGTGGGGTTGTATACTGTAGATCTAAATTGGAATTACCCTGTGGAAATAGCACTTTTCCATTTTAGAGCATTTTGAAATCACTGTTATAGCATTTTGAAATAACTGAAACTTAGGTCAATTGTGGACAATTTAAAAAGGCCTTTATTTTGGAAGGCAACATCAAAATGACTTGATATTGATATGGTATCACTGTGGGGTTGTATACTGTAGCTCTAAAGTGGAATTACCCTTTGGAAACAGCACTTTTCCATTTCAGAGCATTTTGAAATCACTGAAAATTGGGTCAATTGTGGACAATTTAAAAATGCCTTTATTTTAGAAAGCAACATCAGAATTACTTGATATTGATATGGTATCACTGTGGGGTTGTGTACTGCAGATATAAATTGGAATTACCCTGTGGAAATAGCAGTTTTCTATTTTAGAGCATTTTGAAATCACTGAAAATTAGGTCAATTGTGGACAATTTTAAAAGGCCTTTATTTTGGAAAGCAACATCAGAATGACTTGATATTGATATGGTATCAATGTGGGGTTGTATACTGTAGATCTAAAGTGGAATTAACCTGTGGAAACAGCAATTTTCCATTTTAGAGCATTTTGAATTCACTGTTATAGCATTTTGAAATAACTGAAACTTAGGTCAATTGTGGACAATTTAAAAAGGCCTTTATTTTGGAAAGCAACATCAGAATGACTTGATATTGATATGGTATCAATGTGGGGTTGTATACTGTAGATCTAAAGTGGAATTAACCTGTGGAAACAGCAATTTTCCATTTTAGAGCATTTTGAATTCACTGTTATAGCATTTTGAAATAACTGAAACTTAGGTCAATTGTGGACAATTTAAAAAGGCCTTTATTTTGGAAAGCAACATCAGAATGAGTTGATATTGATATGGTATCACTGTGGGGTTGTGTACTGTAGACCTAAAGTGGAATTACCCTGTGGAAACAGCAATTTTCCATTTTAGAGCATTTTGAAATCACTGTTATAGCATTTTGAAATCACTAAAAATTAGGTCAGTTGTGGACAATTTAAAAATGCCTTTATTTTGGAAAACAACATCAGAATTACTTGATATTGATATGGTATCAATGTGGGGTTGTATACTGTAGATCTAAAGTGGAAATACCCTGTGGAAACAGCAATTTTCCATTTTAGAGCATTTTGAAATCACTGTTATAGCATTTTGAAATCACTGAAAATTAGGTCAATTGTGGACAATTTAAAAAGGCCTTTATTTTGGAAGGCAACATCAGAATGACTTGATATTGATATGGTATCACTGTGGGGTTGTATACTGTAGATCTAAAGTGGAAATAACCTGTGGAAACAGCAAGTTTCCATTTTAGAGCATTTTGAAATCGCTGTTATAGCATTTTGAAATCACTTAAAATTAGGTCAATTGTGGACAATTTAAAAAGGCCTTTATTTTGGAAAGCAACATCAGAATGACTTGATATTGATATGGTATCACTGTGGGGTTGTGTACTGCAGATCTAAATTGGAATTACCCTGTGGAAATAGCACTTTTCTATTTTAGAGCATTTTGAAATCACTGAAAATTAGGTGAATTGTGGAATATTTAAAAAGGCCTTTATTTTGGAAGGCAACATCAGAATGACTTGATATTGATATGGTATCACTGTGGGGTTGTATATGGTAGATCTAAAGTGGAATTAACCTGTGGAAACAGCACTTTTCCATTTTAGAGCATTTTGAAATCACTGTTATAGCATTTTGAAATCACTGAAAATTAGGTCAATTGTGGACAATTTAAAAAGGCCTTTATTTTGGAAGGCAACATCAGAATGACTTGATATTGATATGGTATCACTGTGGGGTTGTATACTGTAGATCTAAAGTGGAAATAACCTGTGGAAACAGCAAGTTTCCATTTTAGAGCATTTTGAAATCGCTGTTATAGCATTTTGAAATCACTTAAAATTAGGTCAATTGTGGACAATTTAAAAAGGCCTTTATTTTGGAAAGCAACATCAGAATGACTTGATATTGATATGGTATCACTGTGGGGTTGTGTACTGCAGATCTAAATTGGAATTACCCTGTGGAAATAGCACTTTTCTATTTTAGAGCATTTTGAAATCACTGAAAATTAGGTGAATTGTGGAATATTTAAAAAGGCCTTTATTTTGGAAGGCAACATCAGAATGACTTGATATTGATATGGTATCACTGTGGGGTTGTATACTGTAGATCTAAAGTGGAATTACCCTGTGGAAACAGCAATTTTCCATTTTAGAGCATTTTGAATTGTGGACAATTTAAAAAGGCCTTTATTTTGGAAAGCAACATCAGAATGACTTGATATTGATATGGTATCACTGTGGGGTTGTATACTGTAGATCTAAAGTGAAAATAACCTGTGGAAACAGCAAGTTTCCATTTTAGAGCATTTTGAAATCGCTGTTATAGCATTTTGAAATCACTTAAAATTAGGTCAATTGTGGACAATTTAAAAAGGCCTTTATTTTGGAAAGCAACATCAGAATGACTTGATATTGATATGGTATCACTGTGGGGTTGTGTACTGCAGATCTAAATTGGAATTACCCTGTGGAAATAGCAGTTTTCCATTTTAGAGCATTTTGAAATCACTGAAAATTAGGTGAATTGTGGACAATTTAAAAAGGCCTTTATTTTGGAAGGCAACATCAGAATGACTTGATATTGATATGGTATCACTGTGGGGTTGTATACTGTAGTTCTAAAGTGGAATTACCCTTTGGAAACAGCACTTTTCCATTTTAGAGCATTTTGAAATTACTGTTATAGAATTTTGAAATCACTGAAAATTAGGTCAGTTGTGGACATTTTAAAATGCCTTTATTTTGGAAAGCAACATCAGAATGACTTGATATTGATATGGTATCACTGTGGGGTTGTGTACTGCAGATCTAAATTGGAATTACCCTGTGGAAATAGCACTTTTCCATTTTAGAGCATTTTGAAATCACTGAAAATTAGGTGAATTGTGGACAATTTAAAAAGGCCTTTATTTTGGAAGGCAACATCAGAATGACTTGATATTGATATGGTATCACTGTGGGGTTGTATACTGTAGTTCTAAAGTGGAATTACCCTTTGGAAACAGCACTTCTCCATTTCAGAGCATTTTGAAATTACTGTTATAGCATTTTGAAATCACTGAAAATTAGGTCAGTTGTGGACATTTAAAAATGCCTTTATTTTGGAAAGCAACATCAGAATTCCTTGATATTGATATGGTATCACTGTGGGGATGTTTACTGCAGATCTAAATTGGAATTACCCTGTGGAAATAGCACTTTTCCATTTTAGAGCATTTTGAAATCACTGTTATAGCATTTTGAAATCACTGAAAATTAGGTCAATTGTGGACAATTTAAAAAGGCCTTTATTTTGGAAGGCAACATCAGAATGACTTGATATTGATATGGTATCACTGTGGGGTTTCATACTGTAGATCTAAAGTGGAATTACCCTGTGAAAACAGCAATTTTCCATTTTAGAGCATTTTGAAATCACTGTTATAGCATTTTCAAATCACTGAAAATTAGGTCAGTTGTGGACAATTTAAAAATGCCTTTATTTTGGAAAGCAACATCAGAATTACTTGATATTTATATGGTATCACTGTGGGGTTGTGTACTGCAGATCTAAATTGGATTTACCCTGTGGAAATAGCACTTTTCCATTTTAGAGCTTTTTGAAATCACTGAAAATTAGGTGAATTGTGGACAATTTAAAAAGGCCTTTATTTTGGAAGGCAACATCAGAATTACTTGATATTGATATGGTATCACTGTGGGGTTGTATACTGTAGATCTAAAGTTGAATTAACCTGTGGAAACAGCAATTTTAAATTTTAGAGCATTTTGAAATCACTGTTATAGCATTTTGAAATCACTGAAAATTAGGTCAATTGTGGACAATATAAAAAGGCCTTTATTTTGGAAGGCAACATCAGAATGACTTGATATTGATATGGTATCACTGTGGGGTTGTATACTGTAGTTCTAAAGTGGAATTACCCTTTGGAAACAGCACTTTTTCATTTCAGAGCATTTTGAAATTACTGTTATAGCATTTTGAAATCATTGAAAATTAAGTCAGTTGTGGACATATAAAAATGCCTTTATTTTGGAAAGCAACATCAGAATTACTTGATATTGATATGGTATCACTGTGGGGTTGTCTACTGCAGATCTAAATTGGAATTACCCTGTGGAAATAGCACTTTTCCATTTTAGAGCATTTTGAAATCACTGAAAATTAGGTCAATTGTGGACAATTTAAAAAGGCCTTTATTTAGGAAAGCAACATCAGAATGACTTGATATTGATATGGTATCACTGTGGGGTTGTATACTGTAGATCTAAAGTGGAACTAACCTGTGGAAACAGCAATTTTCCATTTTAGAGCATTTTGAAATCACTGTTATAGCATTTTGAAATAACTGAAAATTAGGTCAATTGTGGACAATTTAAAAAGGCCTTTATTTTGGAAGGCAACATCAGAATGACTTGATATTGATATAGTATCACTGTGGGGTTGTATACTGCCGATCTTAAGTTTAATTACCCTGTGGAAACGGCAATTGTCCATTTTAGAGCATTTTGAAATTACTGTTATAGCATTTTGAAATCACTGAAAATTAGGTTAGTTGTGGACATTTAAAAATGCCTTTATTTTGGAAAACAACATCAGAATTACTTGATATTGATATGGTATCACTGTGGGGTTGTGTACTGCAGATCTAAATTGGAATTACCCTGTGGAACTTGCACTTTTCCATTTTAGAGCATTTTGAATTCACTGAAAATTAGGTCAATTGTGGACAATTTAAAAAGGCCTTTATTTTGGAAACCAACATCAGAATGACTTGATATTGATATGGTATCACTGTGGGGTTGTATACTGTAGTTCTAAAGTGGAATTACCCTTTGGAAACAGCACTTTTCCATTTCAGAGCATTTTGAAATTACTGTTATAGCATTTTGAAATCGCTGAAAATTGGGTCAATTGTGGACAATTTAAAAAGGCCTTTATTTTGGAAGGCAACATCAGAATGACTTGATATTGATATGGTATCACTGTGGGGTTGTATACTGTAGTTCTAAAGTGGAATTACCCTTTGGAAACAGCACTTTTCCATTTTAGAGCATTTTGAAATTACTGTTATAGAATTTTGAAATCACTGAAAATTAGGTCAGTTGTGGACATTTTAAAATGCCTTTATTTTGGAAAGCAACATCAGAATGACTTGATATTGATATGGTATCACTGTGGGGTTGTGTACTGCAGATCTAAATTGGAATTACCCTGTGGAAATAGCACTTTTCCATTTTAGAGCATTTTGAAATCACTGAAAATTTGGTGAATTGTGGACAATTTAAAAAGGCCTTTATTTTGGAAGGCAACATCAGAATGACTTGATATTGATATGGTATCACTGTGGGGTTGTATACTGTAGTTCTAAAGTGGAATTACCCTTTGGAAACAGCACTTCTCCATTTCAGAGCATTTTGAAATTACTGTTATAGCATTTTGAAATCACTGAAAATTAGGTCAGTTGTGGACATTTTAAAAATGCCTTTATTTTGGAAAGCAACATCAGAATTACTTGATATTGATATGGTATCACTGTGGGGTTGTGTACTGCAGATCTAAATTGGAATTACCCTGTGGAAATAGCAGTTTTCCATTTTAGAGCATTTTGAAATCACTGAAAATTAGGTGAATTGTGGACAATTTAAAAAGGCCTTTATTTTGGAAGGCAACATCAGAATGACTTGATATTGATATGGTATCACTGTGGGGTTGTATACTGTAGTTCTAAAGTTGAATTACCCTGTGGAAACAGCACTTTTCCATTTTAGAGCATTTTGAAATCACTGTTATAGCATTTTCAAATCACTGAAAATTAGGTCAGTTGTGGACAATTTAAAAATGCCTTTATTTTGGAAAGCAACATCAGAATTACTTGATATTGATATGGTATCACTGTGGGGTTGTGTACTGCAGATCTAAATTGGAATTACCCTGTGGAAATAGCACTTTTCCATTTTAGAGCTTTTTGAAATCACTGAAAATTAGGTGAATTGTGGACAATTTTAAAAGGCCTTTATTTTTTGAAAGCAACATCAGAATGACTTGATATTGATATGGTATCACTGTGGGGTTGTGTACTGCAGATCTAAATTGGAATTACCCTGTGGAAATAGCACTTTTCCATTTTAGAGCATTTTGAAATCACTGAAAGATAGGTCAATTGTGGACAATTTAAAAACGCCTTTATTTTGGAAAGCAACATCAGAATTACTTGATATTGATGTGGTATCACTGTGGGGTTGTGTACTGTAGATCTAAATTGGAATTAACCTGTGGAAATAGCACTTTTCCATTTTAGAGCATTTTGAAATCACTGTTATAGCATTTTGAAATCACTGAAATTTAGGTCAATTGTGGACAATTTAAAAAGGCCTTTATTTTGGAAGGCAACATCAAAATGACTTGATATTGATATGGTATCACTGTGGGGTTGTATACTGTAGCTCTAAAGTGGAATTACCCTTTGGAAACAGCACTTTTCCATTTCAGAGCATTTTGAAATCACTGAAAATTGGGTCAATTGTGGACAATTTAAAAATGCCTTTATTTTAGAAAGCAACATCAGAATTACTTGATATTGATATGGTATCACTGTGGGGTTGTGTACTGCAGATATAAATTGGAATTACCCTGTGGAAATAGCAGTTTTCTATTTTAGAGCATTTTGAAATCACTGAAAATTAGGTCAATTGTGGACAATTTTAAAAGGCCTTTATTTTGGAAAGCAACATCAGAATGACTTGATATTGATATGGTATCAATGTGGGGTTGTATACTGTAGATCTAAAGTGGAATTAACCTGTGGAAACAGCAATTTTCCATTTTAGAGCATTTTGAATTCACTGTTATAGCATTTTGAAATAACTGAAACTTAGGTCAATTGTGGACAATTTAAAAAGGCCTTTATTTTGGAAAGCAACATCAGAATGAGTTGATATTGATATGGTATCACTGTGGGGTTGTATACTGTAGACCTAAAGTGGAATTACCCTGTGGAAACAGCAATTTTCCATTTTAGAGCATTTTGAAATCACTGTTATAGCATTTTGAAATCACTAAAAATTAGGTCAGTTGTGGACAATTTAAAAATGCCTTTATTTTGGAAAACAACATCAGAATTACTTGATATTGATATGGTATCAATGTGGGGTTGTATACTGTAGATCTAAAGTGGAAATACCCTGTGGAAACAGCAATTTTCCATTTTAGAGCATTTTGAAATCGCTGTTATAGCATTTTGAAATCACTTAAAATTAGGTCAATTGTGGACAATTTAAAAAGGCCTTTATTTTGGAAAGCAACATCAGAATGACTTGATATTGATATGGTATCACTGTGGGGTTGTGTACTGCAGATCTAAATTGGAATTACCCTGTGGAAATAGCACTTTTCTATTTTAGAGCATTTTGAAATCACTGAAAATTAGGTGAATTGTGGAATATTTAAAAAGGCCTTTATTTTGGAAGGCAACATCAGAATGACTTGATATTGATATGGTATCACTGTGGGGTTGTATATGGTAGATCTAAAGTGGAATTAACCTGTGGAAACAGCACTTTTCCATTTTAGAGCATTTTGAAATCACTGTTATAGCATTTTGAAATCACTGAAAATTAGGTCAATTGTGGACAATTTAAAAAGGCCTTTATTTTGGAAAGCAACATCAGAATGACTTGATATTGATATGGTATCACTGTGGGGTTGTGTACTGCAGATCTAAATTGGAATTACCCTGTGGAAATAGCACTTTTCTATTTTAGAGCATTTTGAAATCACTGAAAATTAGGTGAATTGTGGAATATTTAAAAAGGCCTTTATTTTGGAAGGCAACATCAGAATGACTTGATATTGATATGGTATCACTGTGGGGTTGTATACTGTAGATCTAAAGTGGAATTACCCTGTGGAAACAGCAATTTTCCATTTTAGAGCATTTTGAATTGTGGACAATTTAAAAAGGCCTTT